CCAATTCCAGTTATGGCCACCTCTATGACTGCCCCAGTCCCTATTCCAATTAGGGACACCCCTGCCCCAGTTCCTATTCCAGTTAGAGGTACCCCAGCCCCTGCTCCAGTCCCTATTCCAGTTAGGGCGACCCCTGCCCCAGTCCCAATTCCAGTTATGGCCACCTCTATGACTGCCCCAGTCCCTATTCCAATTAGGGACACCCCTGCCCCAGTTCCTATTCCAGTTAGAGGTACCCCAGCCCCTGCCCCAGTCCCTATTCCAATTAGGGACACCCCTGCCCCAATCCCTATCCCAGTTAGGGACACCCTTGCCCCGGTGTCTATTCCAATTAGGGGCACCCCTGTCCCTGCCCCTGTCCCTATACAAGTTAGGGACACCCCTGCCCCAGTCCCTGTTTCAGTTTGGGACACCCCTGCTCCCACCTCCATCCCTATTACAATTATGGACACTCCTGTCCCTGCCCTAGTCTGTATTCCAGTTAGCGCCACCTCTACCATTGTCCCAGTCCCTATTCCAGTTAGGGATACCCCAGCTCCAGTCCCTATTCCAGTTTGTGACACCCCTGCTCCCACCCCTGTTCCTATTACAATTATGGACACTCCTGTTCCTGCCCTGGACTCTATTCCAGTTAAGGCCATCTCTACCATTGCCCCGCTACTAATTTCATTTAGGGACACCCCTGCTCCTACCCCAGTCCCTATTTCAGTTACAGACACCCCTGCCCCGATCCCTATCCCAGTCAGGGACACCCCTGCCCCAGTCCATATTCCAGTTAGGGACACCCCTGGCCCAGTTCCTATTCCAGTTAGGGATACCACTGTCCCTGCCCCAGTCCCTTTTTCAGTCAGGGCCACCCCTGCCCCTATCCCTGTCCCTTTGCTAGTTAGGGACATTCCTACTCCAGTCCCTGTTCCCGGTAGGGCCACACCTGGTTCTGTCCCCGTCCCTATTCCAGTTAGGACAACTCCTGCCCCAGTCTCTATTCCAGTTAACGCCACCCCTGCTACTGTCCATGCCCCAGTCTCTGTTCCCATTAGGTATGCCACTGCCACACTCCCTTTTCCAATTAAAGCTCCCCCTGCTCAAGTTCCTGTACCAGTTAGAGATCCCCCTTCCACAGACCCCGTTCCAGTCGGGGATCCCCCTGCTCTATTCACTGTTCCATTTATAACCCCCCCAGCTCCTGTTCCAGTTAAGGATCCCCCTGCCCCACTCCGTGTTCCAGGTAGGGATACTCCTGTCTCAGTCCCTGTTAAAGCTCTCCCTTCCTCTGCCTCTTTTCCAGCTAAGGCTTCCTCCAACTCAGGCCTTGTTCCAGTTAGGGATCTCCCTGCCTTACTCCCTGTTTCAATTGAAGGGTCAGTCAGGGTCTCGGTTCCAGTAAGCAATCTCCCTTCCATAGTCCCTGTTCCAGTTAAAGCTCCCCCTCCCACAGTCCCTGTTACAGTTAAAGCTCCTCTAGTCACTGTTTCAGTCAAGGATCCTTCTGCCATACTCCCAGTTCCAGTTAAAGTTCCCCCTTCCTCAGTCAATGTTCCAGTTAAAGGTCTCCCACCCCCTGTCTCTAATCTAGCTAAATCTCCCTCCACCCCAACCCTTGATGCAGTTAGGTATCCCCCTGCCCCAGTCCCTCTTCCACTTAGGGTTAACCCTGCCCATGTTCCTCTACCAGTTAAGACTCCCCCTGCTCCCATCTCTGCTTCAATTAAGGCCACCCCTGCCCCAGTCCCCATTCCAGTTAGGGTTACACTTGCCCCCACCCCTGTCCCTAGTAGAGCCATTGATGCCCCTGTATTTGCCTCAAATTCCCTGGAACCAGCTTCATCTTCCACCACATTGTCGGTGTTGGGCAGCCCTCAGTCATGGGAAACCCTGTCTACAGGAGGGGCGACAGAGACCCCATCTCAGAACAGCAATACCGAGGACTTCAGGTGAACAGGAATTACACCAACTCTGGACTTAGTGTTACATACAGTTGGCAGATGTCGTTCTCACTGAGTGGGTAGTGTCATTCTTGGTAGGTACGAGCCAAAACATTATGACCACCCGCATGTCAAGTGAATAACATCGACTAACCCCATGTGAAGAGAAAAACATCAACTTTCAGTCAACAGTGGTGAGATATATAACATTTTCATTTTACATTTACATATTTAGCTGGCACTTTTATCCAAAGCCATGTACTAATCAGGTAAATAGCACATTGCAAACATTCATGTTGTCATAGAGTCAACCAGGAATAACTCCAGCTAGGCTGAGCTTACAATGAATGCCAAGGTAAAGGTGTAAGCAGTTTTTGGAGCAGGAGCTACCCAACAGCTACACATAGTTATTAACAAAGTAAGAATCTAATAAGACCAAGCAAGGGTCAGTAAATGGCACATAAGAGCATTCAAAGATCAATCAGGTTAGTAAAGGGATTCATGGTACACATGGGTCTTAAGGTGTTTATTTTAATGTAGAGGGAGTGTGATGACTAAACGTGGTTCAGCAGCTCATTCCACCACCAGAGAACCACATATGAGAACCATCTGGAGTGACACTTCTCTTGTGGAGCTCCAAGCAGCGTTGGTTTGCAAATTCAATGGTGAGAGATGGAACATTGATTTTGAGGACCCTTTTGATGTGAGGGTGCCTGTTCATTAATGGAACTGTAAGCCAACACCAAGGACTTGAACTTGATGCGATCATTGATAGGGAACCATTGGACACAGATCAGGAGAGGTGTTACATGAGAATGCTTGGTTTCATTGAATATTAGATGTTCTGCTGCATTTTGAATCATCTATAGTGGTCTGACAGCACAGGCTAGTAAACCTGTCTGTAGAGAGTGGCTGAGGGGGGAAGAGGCTTGACCAGATTCACATGTACGTGGTCAAAATGGTACACCAGCTCCGCAAACAGCACTGACACGACCATGGTGTGTTGGTGCACCTTAGCGCACTGACACTGGATGTTGTTGGCAGCCCAACTGCAGACATCCTTCTTAAGCCGACTCCAGAGTCACTTGGCAGCCAG